TATACTTGCTCACACCAAAACTACTAATGATTTTGTTTATTTAATGCCGATTTGTCCATCCAAAGTTTGCCTGTAAGTTATTGCTCGGTAGCGATAAGACCGTAATTACAAAAATATGCATTCCATAGTATTCTTGTACTGTTGGTGTATTATACAGTTTATTCTATCCCAATCTACCATTACTTACAAAAGGAAAAAAAGACAAAATTTTACATCAGCTCAAGTAGACGTTGAAGTCTCTATGCCGTTAAGTACAAACATTCACTATAACTAGCAATTATTCTCCTCCCAACTTTACTTTTTCCCTTATCCTGTCTAAAAACGATTACTTTCTTAAGCAGAGTTGGCATCAGACGGTCGACTATTAATAAAAAAAAACAACCAAAAGCCTATGCAAACCTATTGGCAGCCCAGGGACCATAGCCATTTGCCGAGAGTGTCTATGGGTAGCGGCAGTTTCCATCGGGAGACCAGTCTGCTCGTTGACCTCTCATCATCATCAGTCTTTAATAGTCCACTGCTGGACATAGGCCTCTCCTTAGAAAGGAGGTTTTGGCCTACTATACTGGCCAGACGGGTTAGTATACAGTTTGTGTCAAGTTTCCCTGGTCTCTGCAGTGTTGTTGTCCTGGGTAGTTAGCTCCCTTAGTCGGCTCTTACGACACCCATGGGATAAATACTTTGACCACAACACGATAAAAATTAACTTTCACACGCAGCACCGTGCAATAATCTTGTTTAAATTTGGATTTAATATATTATATACTTGTAGCACTGTACTTAATACATAATAACGAAAATATATTAAAAGATAATGGGCGAAAGTATGATATGAATATATAAATTTATTTTTACGATGGCAAGAGAGATCCTTTAGCTAGTACAAACATGTCGAGGAAACGAGTTACTTGGAAACCGTGTTACGGTAATGTTTGGTTACGGAGCCGGTATTTGTAGCTTTTCTATACACAATTATCTTTATTTATTTATGAAAGGAAAAGAAGCAAAAAAACAAAATGACAATATTTTGGTAATATTAATCTTATGTGATCAACTTTTCCTTTGGCCGAATTCAAACATCCATTCTTTTATTTTAAACGTGAATGAGTTTGTTTGTTTGTTAAAGTATGCCTAAACCATTTAACCAATTTAAAAAAATCTTTCACCAATGAAAACCTACATTATTAGCGAGTAATGTAGGTTATTATTACCGCCATAACCGAAATACATGCGGGCGGAGCCGCGGGCAAAAGCTAGTCCATATCCATACTGATATTATAAATGCGAAAGTATATCCTTCTGTCTGTCTCTCTGTGTCTGTTGCCTCTTTACGCTTAAACCGCTGCACCGATTTAGATAAAATTTGTTAAAGAGATAGTCCGAGTCCCAGGACAGGATATAGGGTAGTTTTTATTCCTGAAATCATCCTTTAAGGTGGTGAAAAGGGGGCTGGAAGTTTGTATGGGGAGTCAATAACCACTAAACCTCTTCTCCAAGTGAGTGAGGTTCTTGGAGTTTCAAACCCAAGTTCTTGGGGCCCACAGAGGGTAGAGACGTAATTGTATCTTTCGAGTTGACTGCACGGAATGCGTAGTGGTTTAAGCGGTCACCTCGTCGGTTCCTACTGCGCTGAGTTTTGCGGGTTCGATCCCAACATGGGATGACACTTTGTGTGATCCACAACTTGTTGTACTGAGTCTGAATATTATTTGTGTCCGTTTCATGTATATTTGTGGGGTCCCCCGCGACACAAGATATGTTCAAAAAAAAAAGAGTTGCAGATTTCCATGGGCGGCGGTAGTCACTTACTTTCAGGTGACCCGTCAGGTCGTTTGCCCCCTTGCGTAGTTTATTACCCAAAAAAATTATCATCTTCACCATCAACAGCCTTTGAGAGTCCACTGCTTTACATAGGCCTCTCCTTAGAGAGGAGGTTTTGGCCTACCATATACCACGCTGGCCACACAGGTTGGTACAAGGTTTCTTTCAAATTATTCTAGCGATATTAAACTGCCGTTACCACGTTATAAATGCTGAGTTACTCAATTAAGATGATTCGTCCGTGTGAGTGTTGCTAAACCAATTACTTCCAGGCCTCAGTCTTTGTAATAAAAAAAATACGATGTTGCGAATTGGAAATTGATTAATGAATGTTTATTGGTTTTTAAAGTTATTTGATAAAATGACGACCGAATGGCGTAGTGGTTTGTGTAACGGACTGCTATTCCAAAGGTCGCGGGTTCGATTCCCGCTCAAGTCAAACATATGTGTGCATGAACATTTAATGTTTGATTTGGTCTGGGTGTTTCTATGTATAATAAGTATGTATTTACAAAAAAAAGTATATATGTATTTATATCAGTTGTCTAGTACCCATAGTACAAGCTCTGCTTAGTTTGGGACTAGATGGTGTTGTGTGAATGTGGTTGAATATTATTATTACAATATTATATTATTATAAATACCGCTGGACACATTATCTATAAATTTTTACTAAATTAATTAGGATTATTAATAATGAAATTTTGATCGACTTTTTTATTTGGGAAAATCTATGAAAACATTTCTGGTATCATCTCTCTACTATCAGGTCAATATAGGTACGGCATAATGGCTGTCATTCATCAACAGCCGTTACTAGTCCACTTCTGGACATAGGCCTCTCCTTAGAAAGGAGGGTTTGACCTACTATATCACGCTAGCCAGACGGGTTGGTATAGGGTTTGTTTTAAGGTTTAGTCGGCTCTTACGACACCCGCGGGATGAATAGTGGTGGTGACATTCCGTATTCTTAATCCGTCACCACACGGACGAGACACACCTGTCATTGAGTGCAATTAAATCGGTTGCGCGACTTAGCACTTCAACCTTACAGAAGATCATATTTACATCGTATCTACGTGTCTGCCGTAGCGTGGACAGCTAGTACCACGCCTTGTGCGCGTTAAGGGCGTGAGTTCAAAACCAACCAAATCAGAGTACACCGTATTTACTTTCACACGTGAGGTTACAGACTGCCTCAGTGGTGCACTGGTAGCGTATGTTCGGTTCTGATTCGATTAACGGGTCAGACCAAGTGCTTCTATGATCTGCAACTTTGTTTCGGAGTTTGGGTATTTTCTAAGTACAATATGTATGTATTTACCAAAAAAAAAGTACTTTTATAAATATTGTATCAGTCAATCTAGCTTTAATAGTACAAGCTTTGCTTAGTTTGAAACTAGATGGCGTTAGGTGTCAGAATCCAAAAAAAATTGGGGTTGAAGAAGCACCAAAAGGCGGCAACACGCTTGTGTGTCATGAGCTGTAACGTGCCCTTGGCCAATGGAAGTCTGTCAAGGTCTAGTCTACTCGTTCTAGCCTTCTTTACTAAAAATAAATTATAGTTAAAAAATATTTAAAAACACGCTTTTGTAACTAGCTGAACTCATCATCATCATCAACAGCCGTAGCCTTAAATAGAGGCTTATGGACTAAAGCCTCTCCTTAGAAAGTAGGTTTTGGCTTATTAGACCAAACTATACTACTATAGCATAACTAAAAAGTAAAAAATAATTTTCTATAATTAAAAAAAAGAAAAATCATTACGTCGGGTGCTAGATCTCAATTGTTATAAAAATATTTTATTGTCAGATATTGGTAAAAGTAAAGTTATTATATTATAAAATATCTTTAAAAACACCGCAACGCTTTTTTACAATAAAATGATATTTCTTTTTGAACTTATAGAAAATTAGTTTCTACTTTTTAATTCGGCTAGTTACAAAAGCGTGTTTTTCTTTATTTTTTAACTATTTTTTTTTTTGCTGTTTTAGTAATTAATAATGATTATTTTTTCATTCAAACTAAATAAGTAACAAGTATATCACATATGCTTCAGCACTCGCTTCTTAATACTTAGTAAGTAGCAAAAGACACTGCCGTATTTTTGGGTATGGAAAAAGCCGTTAATCCTGAAGATCCTGATCAGGATAATCGGCCAAATCTATCAAATTATTGTATTGTCATCGGTCCTTGATAAGTGAGCTAAGTTTTAATGTCATTTAACGTTTTGAAGTGGGTCAAGATGACGTTCGAAGATTCCGTTACATATGTACATACATTCATGGCAAGCTAATAAAAGCGTGTTGAAAAAATTAAAACAAAATAAGCCACGGGAAAAATTTGTCGTTGTGAATATTTTCCATTTTATTGCTGGTTTAAGCATTTCATAGTATCGCCGCCATAATGAGCATGTTTCTTCCGATGTAGCACAAACGAGTTTTGCAAACGACGCTGAATAAAACCAGGTTAGTGGTACATAGTATCTACATCTACATGTTTTAAAACAATTCGTTTAATAATTGTTTAAATTAATATTATAATAACAGCGGTATATTATAGAAATCATCAGTAATAAGTTTGATATGTCTGTCTGTGACATCGTAGCTCTTAAACTAATGGACCGATTTATTATGCGGTTATATGTTTGAAAGCTGATATTATTAAGGCGGTTCTTATCTATAATTTATGAGGTTCTATTTAGGTGCTAATCAATTAGATCATTTCCTATTTGGCAAAACTTTTGTTTTATGGTGGACGGGGCAGACGAATTACCATCGCCGCCCATTAACGTCTGCAACTCCGGTGCCACAAACGCGTTGCCGGCCTTTTAAGAAGTAGTACGCTCTTATCTTTGCCAACTTTCATAAATCCAAATGTACTGTAACTTCGGTGGTATTTCCAAGTATTTTTAACCTTGAGCTAATACTGTAGCATCAAATACCCATGCTCCTTTGCCTTCTTACAACATAAAAAAAAGGAAAAACGTAACTACCGCCGCCCAGACTTTTGTAACCCTTAAGTGACACCGTTAGAATAAGATTGGGCCCGCTTTAATCTCAATAACTCAAGAAATGCAGCGAAAGAATTATAATACAATAATAATAATAGACTAGTAGTTTACTTTAAAGCTACATGTTCAGAATATCATCAGTTAGTGATAAGAGTGAAGAACTCACCGATCCATGTGAAGGAGCCAGATCAGGTTTAAGTGCCAGAATTCGAGCACGTACAGTCTCTCCAGGCCTGTAGCGCGCGCGCTCACTCTGCACGACCAGCACCCGCCCACTCGAAATGCGTAAGGTAAGACGACGTTCCCACGTGCATTGTGCTTCTGGGTACCTGAGGAGTTAATCAGACAAAGGTTCATCATCACGTATTGGAACATATTACACAGCCGTATATTTGTATTTTTGTATTTGTTTAAAAAGACAACTCCCGCATTAGGAATATATCCTGTGTCGCGGGGGACTTTACAAACATACATGAAACGGACACAAAGAACATCCAGACTCAGAACAACAATTTGTGGATCACACAAAGTGTCGTCCCATGTGGGGTTTGAACCTACAACACTCGGCGCAGTAGGAAGCGGCGTGGCGACCACTTAAACCACTGCGCCATCTGTGCTTGCTGTAGACTTGAAGGTAAATTCTCGTAATAAATCTCGTAAATTTGATCAAATAATCGATTGATTCGATCTAGTCGATCTCATAAATGTCATACTAGGTATTCACGTAGTAAAGTATTACCAAGACTATCAGAATACCTAGCGGTCACCTCGCCGCTTCCTATTGCGCTGAATGTTCGTCGATCAATTTTTTGTTCTGAGTCTGGGTGTTCTTTATGTTTGTATATTCCTAGTGCGAAAGTTCTGTTAAAAAAAAACTTGAAAAGTTGAGTCTAGTGTCTCACTGTAATTTGACGATCAGGTCAGCCTTGGTGTTAGGCAGTTGAGGAACGCTGATGTCCAGACAGCCACCGTCTCCTGCGGAAGAAAAAGTAGGGAAGTTCATAATTGAGTATCGCAATAAATTACACCCATGTGAAGTCCGTGTGGTGACAGATTAAGAATACAAATTGTCACCACCCCAATTCATCCCGTGGGTGTCGTAAGAGCCGACTAAGGGAGCAAACTACGCAGGACAACAGCACTGCAAAGAGAAGGAAAACTTGAAACAAACCCTATACCAACCCGTCTGGCCAGCGTGGTATAGTAGGCCAAAACCTCCTTTCTAAGAAGAGGCCTATGTCCAGCAGTGGACTAGTATAGGCCGTTGATGATGATGGATGATGACGCCGGGGCAGGTCGCTAGGAATGTAGAGATATTTTTTTCTTTTCTAAGGGTCACTGGTAAGTAAGGGTCAAGGTAAATTTATTTGCTTACTATTCGACAAAACAGAGATTGTTGCTTTTGTGTGTGTTGATCTATGACTTTGGAGTCTACATAAAAGACGATTTTAAACAATTTTATTTTTTTTATGAAATAAAGAGTTTGAGTTTGAAAGGGTCAAGGGTAAGTAAGGGTCAAGGGTGAGTGACTACCGTCGCCCATGGACACCTGCAACTCAAGAGTCACAAGTGCTTGACAGACATCTGCTCCCTCCCCCCTCACCCCCTCCTGTATTATTTTTGGGGAGTCCGGTAACCTCACTCACTCGATGAAAAGCAATAAAGTTATTGTTTTATTTATTGTTAACACTGATTTTCTGGTTTAAATAAGACCAGGTCGAACTTCTGTACTTTAACCTTACTTAAGTGAAGTGACGTGACGTAACGTGACGTAAACCATGCGCAATATTTTATTAAAAAACCTAAGAAAGCTACAAAACTAACAGAAAATATATAAGATATCATACTTAATCTAACATATAAATTGATTATGGAAACAGGTATAGTACATAAAATACGAGTACTATAAAAGTCCAATAAAAACAACAAATAAATCGATTACAATTCCGTAACATAATTAAAGAATTCATGTTGTTTTATTGTCGTTACATAGAACTAATGCCGCGAAACAAAACAATTAGTCACTGGCAACACACACCTACGTGCGGTCTATAGAAGGATCTTTTACCGTCGTAGTCTTCAAGTACAATAAAAAATATACTTAGACTAGCTGAGACTCGCGGTGTTACCCGCGTTTGTTGTTATAACCGCGGGCAACGCCTCGGGGCGAAGTAAAAAAGTAGCCTAAGTTACTCCTTATGTCATCAGCTATCTGCCACTGAAACTCCCGTCGAAATCGGTTAAGCCGTTCCAGAGATTACCCGGAACAAACAGACAGACAGACAGACAAAAATTTAAAAAAATGTTATTTTGGCACATGCCAAAGCGATTATTTTAATATTACAAACAGACACTCCAATTTTATTTATTTGTATAGATAAAAAAGCTTTATAAAAAAACATTAAACAAAAACGTGTGCGTCTCGGGACGGCCGACAGAAGTGATACGAGTAACTTAAACTAATCTAAGTTGAACTATTTAATATTGAAATTGTTTAACTTGAGAGAAGCTTAGGTCTGTCCGAAATACGGCTAGTCATCATCATCATCAACAGCCTTTAACAGTCCACTGCTGGACATAGGCCTCTCCTTAGAAAGGAGGTACGGCTAGTGCTGTGGGTTAAAGTGAGAGAGGAGGAGCCTACCTACCGGAAGCGGTTTACCCTCCCATAAGAAGTTATCACTTCAAAATCTAATATGACTAAAATCTATTATACAGGTGTTTGACAAAAAAATTATCCCTATTTTTTACTAAATATTTAACATACATATTATGTCGATATATCATACATATTATATCTGTTTTATTTTTATTTTAGACAGGCACAAGAAACTATGATGCGTTCCCTAGGAAATCTGTTAAGAAATACATTTTGTTTCTTAGGTCAGTAAGATCCAAAATAAAAGAAAGCAAAAATGGTTATTATCTTTGAAACTCTAATGATATAATACTTTAAATGTTTCATAATAATTTACGTTACCTACTAAGGTAACCGAGTTAGAAAACGTGGCAACTTGATCTTCGATCTTCATGAGCCCTGGCCTGGCCGGAGGATAATAGGTTAGTCGGCCCGTTACTCCAGTAGAAGTAGGCTATGAGCGCTTTCGCACTACGTCCGATCCGAATCCGATTCGAACTGGTGAAAATACGGATCTAGAAATCTCGGACTGATTAGGATATTGCTTTTCGCAATACCTCGATTTCTGATCCGTGATTACGAATGTGGAAAGCTGATTAACTGAATTCGTATATTGTTTATGAACTTTTGTCATCTCTGATTCTAGTCCAAGTCCAAGCAATTCAGGGGTCACCTTTTAGCATACGTCATTTTGAGCGGAACCATCACGTCGTTGATCATCTCCTCGAGTCAATTGGCGTCAACTTCTGGCAACGATATTGTACATACGAACGACTAAGAAAAAGTAAGGATTTTGGGTTCATTTATACAAATAATGGTATGGCTACTTTGGTCCGTCAATAATCTTGTCAAGGAGGAGGAGATTCAAGGATCCGTTAGGAAAGGAATCGGATGACAGAAGACGGGTCTAGTGCGTTGGCAACCATAGAAACAGTTGAACGAATACTCGGTGTATTATCACGGCTTCGGTTCGAGATCAGTGCGAAAGTTTGTAGGGTTCCGAAGACTCTGATCTAATGGAACAAGATAAGCATCAATACCCTACATCCTTTCAATCATAGGCTTTGCTTTTAATTTATTAAAATATTTTCATCTATGAATTTGCTTAAAACAAATTATAATTTACAGAATTAGCAACTATAACTATTAGTGTTTAGTTAAATGAACAATTTGAGGTGCAAAATTTACCTGGAGGCAGTTCTCTGGAGGCTGTAGTAGTCAGAAGGTCTTCAGTCAGCAACGTGAGCAGCAACCTTGCAGGTCCATCAGGATGAAACCTTGACACGCAAGCTCGGTTTATTCCACCGGATTTGAGGACTCCTGGGGCCAAGACCAGGTGGTTCTTATCCGTGCATGGGTTACTGTAAAATGGTAATAGTGTTAGATTAATATTATTCTGTCTCAGGCTATAACAGGTAGGGTGGGATAATATTTAACATTTTCTACTTTATTTGGGGGTCGACTTTTTTATGATATTGCGGTTAATCTGATGGTTAGTGACTACCGCCGTCCATGAGCACCTGCAACTCAAACGTCACAAGTGCGTTGCCGCCTTTTCAATCCCCCTTCCATCCCCTCCAGAATCAGAGTGTTTGGGCTCCGGTAACCTCTGTGAAGCCGTGGTATCCCCAAGTCGAGCCGGCCCATTTGTGTCACCTGATTTTATCTTTAAGTAGACCCATTGATATTGACGGAGGTTCATTCTTAACTTCATTAGATATATGGTAGAATTTTTAAAAACCAATTAAGTAAATTAGAAAAGTAATAAAATCGATTAAATTGGATTAACTAAATCATACGTTAAGTAAAAAAAAACAATGGCACTCCGGGAGTAACGACAGAAGTGGAAACCTTTTTTTTTTATTATTATAACAGGTTTTTTCTGTTTTTTTTTTCGATTCGAAAATAAATGAATAAATATCTAAGTTGTACGTATATGTACAATATATTTTTAAATTATATATAGTTATATTATCAATGTATTTCAACCCAAACTCAACTCTCGTGTAAATACAGAGGTGTGGGTACCGGTAACAGTGTCGCGAGTTCAATGGTTTTTTTCCCATTTCAAAAAATACATTCTTTTGTTTGTTGTTCAAAAATTCCCAACGCGCCTTAAGAAGGTTTCACTTCAAATATCTTGATAATAAGTGACTACCATAAGGTCTGTCTAGTTTATTAATTATTAATTTGTCACTAAACCAAATAAAACCGGTATTAAGAAATTCAACCATTGCTTTTCACCACGTTCCCACTCAGGCACTCATACCCTCCCTCTGTGGGGGTTAAAGACGGTTTTTAGAAATTCTGCCATATTATTATATCTAATTAAATTAACAATGAATCTCCGTCAACATTATCAAAGGGTCCAATAATAGCTAACTCATCTGGGTGATACCACGGCCTCACAGAGGTTCTGGAGCCCAAACACTCTGATTCTGGGGGAGGATTCAAAAGGCGACAATGTACTTCTGACTCTGAAGTTCCAGATATCTGTAGGCATCACTTCAGTCGTCTACAGGCGTCACTGTAGGTAGTCACTTACCATCACGCGATTCGTTTGCTTTTTGCCACCTATATCATAAAAAAATAAGCGCTAAAAATAAGTTACCATTTTCGACCATTTTGCCATAAAATTAAGAAGAATAACAGAAATAATATTTATGAGCAAGCTTCGTGTCAGTATTCATTACAATAATTAATCAAACATTGTTTTACAATGCAATAAAAAGCGGTCATCACGACTTCAATAAGTTATAATGTATAATTACGAGTATTAGAACAAAAACTGATGCTATCGATTAAACGGATGTTTCCTCTTATAAAACTCAAGGTCCCAGTGACCTTGTTTGACCATTAAATACAAAACACCATGACATAAGCACGAATTGTATATCGTGGTATGGGAATGAAAACGATAATTCTATTGTTACGCTTTTACGGTATGTGATGCTATTTTATGTAGTACCGAATTTTATCGTTTTTAACCGACTTTTGAAAATGAATATTTTATCAATTCGGTTTGTTACTCCATTATCAAACCCGCCAATAAATAAATAATTTTCATATAATTTCCTAAGAGTCAAGCAGTGATAGGTAATAACGGTAATTCTGAGTTGTGAGGAAAAATCCTTTGCAGATATCCTAAGGTCGGTAGATTTAATTCAAAGTCTTAATTATTTCTAACAAGAAAGGATGTTTTTTCTTTGAGATAAGGTTTTTCCTATTATGCCTCAGTTATATTATAAACTAATGTTGATTTATATGGCGCAATCGAATGCTTACTGTAGTGATTAACCATAACGGACTCCCTACAAATATAATTTCTTCTGAGTACATAAGACAATGCAATCTGTTTTCTTAACTTTTTTGAGTCATTGATTTAGAAACCTACGATCGCTGTTCCTTGTTATTACTTTGTTTATTTTTATATTATGCTCACTAAGTGGGCTGTAACGTTCTTGAGTATTAATAAAGTTCTTTAAGCCTCTTGGATCATCATTGGAATGAACCACATTCAAAGTTATAAAATTATAGTAAAGAATGAAAGCCACACCATCAATTCACTGATTTGTGTGTAGTCCCTTCTACAGTTGTTAAGTTAGATATAAGGTCTTTCTGATTCATAGACCGTCTTTTTCTTCAAGTGCCATCTTCGTTCCGAAGGTTAGTAATCATCAAGGGTATTCTAGTTTCAGATTTTGCGGATCTAAAGAGTTGATTTGTAGAGCAGTTGAACCACTCTCACAAATGCCGCAGCCAGGAATATCGTTTTCTTCCCACGTTTTTTTGCCCTTGAATTTTTTTCATCATCAGTCAATCATCATCACATATCATCACATCAACAGCCTTTAATAGTCCACTGCTGGACATATGCCTCTCCTTAGAAAGGAGGTTTTGGCCTTCTATACTAGTCAATCATCAGTCTGTACTAATTTCAATACAACTATTTGGGAGGTCGTTTACAGGGCCAAGGGTCATTCCGTCACTTAACTAAGCATAGACTAGACTAACTAAGCAGACTAAGCATAGTGCGCTTAGTTTGCGCCTTTTCCCAGGATAAAGAAATTTGTCCTGTATCATGAGGCAACCTTATCCGAGAGCAGCCATAACTTACTGACAGTTTCGTTTGTTACAGAAAGTTAGTAGAGTTTCCACTGAATCAGTTTAAAAAAAATTGCGTAAAAATTTTTAAAACTGCTTCTAGAGGCACCAATATAAAACCAGGTATAATATGTATGCTATCCCTAGGTATAGTAGGTGTTAATGGCTGTTACCGGTATGACTTCGAGCAGCAGATAAACCTAATCCCCATCTACTCTTAAGCATTTATCCCTTATTTGCTGTGACTCTTTACTGGTGGTACTATATAGTATGGTGACGGATTAAGAATACAGAGTGTCGCCACCTCTATTTATCCCATGGGTGTCGTAAGAGCCGACTAAGGGAGCAAACTATGCAAGACAATAGCACTGCAAAGAGAAGGAAAACTTGAAACAAACCCTATAACAACCCGTCTGGCCAGCGTGGTATATGGCAGGCCAAAACCTTCTTTGTAAGAAGAGGCCTATATCTAGCAGTGGACTATTAAAGGCTGTTGATGTGACTGTGTGTGATGCGCTCGAAAGACCAGTATGGTGGCTTTCGAGCATCTGTGGAATTTCTGCAAACTCTCTTAATATTGGTCTTTCTTTCAGACTTTAAGAAATGTTAAGAACTTTGTCTTGGATTTAGGAACACTCAATATTACTTACATCCATTTGAAGACAACGACCAGACTGGTATCGAAAGTTTGTAATTAATATTATGTTGCTTGATTGATAGCGTTGCCCAAATTGGCGTTACATGCAGTTTTCTCCCGTGATATGAAATTATTTTATATCGGTAACTTGGCTTATATATGGGACTGGTCTTACCAATATTGTTATTGTATTACTACTTAATTAAAAATCAGAAAGTTTAACTTTTACTGGTTCATGCATCGAAGTTGCAACTTAGGTACTGGCTACAAATTATTAGTAACTAATTTTGATATATTCGAAATTGTTCTTGATTATTTTCACTAAATTATTAAACATAACAACATAACATACCTCCTTCCTAAGGAGAGGCCTATGTCCAGCAGTGGACTAGTAAAGGCTGTTGATGATGATGATGATGATGATTAAACATAGATTTAACAATATACAATTGTCACAAATAATTTTGTGAAGAAGCTTAGGGAATACCTGCAACGGTTATCGGTCGTGATGATGTGATGTGATAGACGATTGTTGAACTGGATGATATTTTCAGGGACCCAGTGGGATCCAATTTTCTAGTAAAATTAATAGTGAAATAATATCTTTTACAATATATCTACAATATAATAATATTAATATGAATGAATGAAAGAATTAATCGTATTCTGTAGTATATTTGATTTTTATGTGAGCCTAACAGAACTCCGGTAAAATAAAAACTTATTTGACAAACGACAGTATTTTGTACATTTTGCGAGATCACATCTGAACAATTGTACAAGTAATAATTTAAGATAGTGTCAAAGAAGAATTACTTTAACTAGGCATCATCCTACACATATTTGACAGATTGACCACCATTTTTTATTTTAACTAAATAATGAAAACATACGTGATTTTCTTTTCTGTTACTCAACTAAGCATAACATGTTTAAAACGCAAGAAAAATAAACAACCCTCCTTAATCTTCATTCTGCACAAAATACCGATACTACTCCAATTTGTCAAGCGCTGTTCTACGGTACAATAGATGCAGTTTAAATTACGCGTAGTAAAGACAAATTTTAATGTTATCTAACAAACAGTTTATAACTGAGCTAACCTCAAGTAAAAAGAGCCAGTTTCCAGTGTCCACTTATGAATGCACTCGTTAGTCTGTTCTAAGAAACGTAACATCTGGTTGTTATTAAAACAAGTCCACCACAACCAGGGTTCTGTCTGAATGAAACAGCAATATATTATCTGAAGTTGAATGAGTGTAAGGGATGTAAAATTCTAAACACCGTAGTCAAAACGGTATGTTATGTTACACTATAAAGTATGGTTTTATTCTGCAGCAAAATGCATGATTCAAAGGCGTCTGAACGTGTTTTATCATACTGTTAGTTGATCCAATCAACCTCTTAAAAGGAATAAATTTTTGCCTACCTTTCTTGCAACCTTTTTCATCGATCCTATTGGTCCTAGCGTAATGTTCTATAGCTTTCCTCAATAAATTGACTATCAAACACTGAAATAATTTCTCAATTTGAACTAGTAGTACTTCAGATTAGCGCGTTCAACCAAACAAACTCTTTAACCTTATAATATTAGTATAAATTAAGTTCGGGCACGCCGTCATCGCGGCGGTAAGACCCGTTATGGAGGATTGGCTCGAGAGGCGTCACGGGACCCTCTCATACCGACTGACGCAGGTGATCACTGGGAAAGGATGTTTCGGGGACCACCTGTGTCTGATCCGCAAGGAGCCAACGCCTGAGTGCCACCACTGCGGTGGCCAGACCGTGGACACGGCTCTCCACACGCTGGCAGACTGCCCGGCGTGGGTTGAGCAGAGGCGAGACCTCGTGGTGGCCATCGGAGTGGGAGTTCTCTCGCTCGATAGCCTGATTGCGGCTATCGTGCGGAGCGAGAGTACGTGGAACTCTGCCGTCTCCTTCTGCGAGCAAGTTATGCTCGCGAAGGAGACGGCGGAGCGGGACCGGGAGAGGTTTAGAACTCTTCCGGGCCCGGGAACGGGCCAGGTACCGCAGGCGACTCAGGCGCCGGAGGTCGCAGAACGACCTCCGTCCTCCATAAGCGCAGGCCTGGGGGTGACAGGTGAGGCCATCTGTCACCCTAGCAGAAGCAGGCCAGGGTGGCGGCGAGCGCGTTGCGAAGCGCGGTCGCTTAAAGGGAGCAGAGGGAACATGGGGTTCCCACACGGGGGGGTCGTCTACTTATTGTAGATGGCCCGAGGTATGTCGGGGCACCAGGGACTTCCTTTCTAGGGTATACCTGGTTCCCCGGCTATTAGTACCCGAGACGGCGTGCGGTTTTAGTCGGTTCGAGTCCGACATACCACCGATAGGTGGTATCCGAGGGGATTTCCGCACGAAAAAAAAATAAGTTGGCAAGTATAAATTAAGTTGGCAAGTAATGGAACGCTTTGCCTTATGTTGGGTAGTCATAGAGGCTATCAGAAACTGGGTCGAAAGCACCTGATGGCAAGCCGTTAACTACTACCATCACTCCTAGTGTTGAAAAAAGACAACTCCCGCATTAGGAATATATCATGTGTCGTGGGGGACTTTTCAAACATACATGAAACGGACACAAAGAACACCCAGAATCAGAACAACAATTTGTGGAGCACACAAAGTGTCGTCCCATGTGGGGATTGGACCCAATACACTCAGCATAGTAGTAAACGGCGTGGCGACCACTTAAACCACTACGCCATTCGACAAATTAACTCTTCTAAACTTAGCATAGACAAGAATAGAGCATTACGACTAGTCGGCAATTTCTATTTCTGCTTGAGTTACTTGTATTACACGACACAAATAATGACTCATGCTTATACGGTTATTTGCACGATACCTATGCCTAAACACCAGTTTAAATATCTCTGTATCTGTCTGTTTGTTCCGGGTAATCTTCAAAACGGCTGGATCGATTTTGATAATATATTACTACCAGGTAGATGTATATACAAGGAGTAACTAAGGCTTTTCTTTTTCTCAGAAAAACCCTATAAAATTTTGCCTGGTCCGGGAATCGAACCCACTAAGGTATTAAAATTCAGCTGGTGTAAAATAATAGTGTTTTTTCTTCTGTGATATAGGAGTTAGATGAACAGATAGGTCATCTAATGCTAAGTGACTACCATCGCCTATGGACACTAGCCATCCTTTGATGTGAGAACACTTTTTTTTTTAAAGTGTCTATCAGCATTAATTAACATCGGTTTTCTGTAAGGCCGTTTGTATAACTCTGGTCAAGCAGGCCTATTTGTGCTGAAGCATGCCTTTTTTAAAAATCTCTTTTGATCAATAACAGGTTCTGTTGGTTTTTTTAAAGATAACTCCCGCATTTTACTTACTGTGTCGCCGAGGACTTTAAAAACATACGTAAAACGAACACAAAGGATACCCAGATTTAGAACAACAATTTGTGGATCACACAAAGTTCCTATGTGGGGATCGAACTCACAACACTTAGCGTATTAGGAAGCGGCGAGGTGACCGCTTAAACAACAACGCCAATGGGACATAAGACTACACTTTGTGTGATCCACCCTGTTGTTCTGAGTCTGGGTGTTCTTTGTGTCCGTTTCATGTAAGTTTGTAAAGTCCCCCGCGACACAGGATATACTTATTCCTACTGCGGGAGTTGTCTTTTTTAAAACAAAAAAAAACATAATATGTAGACTAGGTAGAATTACGTGATATAAGTAGCTAGGTATTGTCTGCTAATTTACTCGCGTGATAATTTCTCATTTCTAACGTTCAAAATGACGAACTTCCAAACAACCGGTCATCCCTTATTTTACCCCCTTCAGGTGTGAAATTTCCAAAAGCTTTTCTTAGTGAATGCTTACGATATCATCACATCAACAGCCTTTAATAGTCAACTGCTGGACATAGGCCTCTCCTTAGAAAGGTGGTTTTGGCCTACTATGCCACGCTGGCTAGACGGGTTGGTATAGGGTTTGTGTCAAGTTTTCCTTCTCTCTGCAGTGCTGTTGTTCTGCGTAGTTTTATCCCTTAGTCGGCTCTTACACCCACGGGATGAATAGGGGTGGTGACACTCTGTATTCTTAATCCGTCACCACACGGACCATACCGGTTGGTATAGGGTTGGTGTCAAGTTTTCCTCGTCTTTGCAGTGCTGTTGTCCTGTGCAGTTTGCTCCATTAATCGCCTCTTACGACACCCACGGGATGAATTGGGGTGGCGAGATTCCATATTCTTAATCCGTCACATACGATATAAAAAGCATCAACTGCCAAAATTTAAAGTTTGTGCCCCTAGCGATTTAGGCTCTGCGTTAATGAATGAGTCACTCAATCAGGGCAAGTATTTTTATATATGGATAGAAGATGTACAGAAAAGGACAATTCCCTTCGACACTTGAAGCAATACAAAACCATTGAATATATTCAAGTGCGTTTCATTTATTGTTGTGGTAATTTCCAATTGAATCCTCCATTGCTACAACTTAAAAGGTGAACAAACTTAAATTAAGCGCGTCGGTTAGTATTCGTTGAAGAATACTCTCACAAGTCGTTTTCATTGCCTAAATTGTTACTAGGTTCGTAATAACAATGTTCAGAAATGAGCCATCAAATGACTTGAGGTTTTAAATCTCTCCATGCTAACGCAATGACGGTAGCACTCACTTGTGATCATTAATTGATTGTCTGTAATCTTGCGTTTCTCTGTACGGGTTAAATCATGTCTGTGTTCAACGGTTTCTTTAATATTTATAGCTCTATCTATGACCAAATAAATAGGCCTTCTGGAACATTTTGTGTTTGCTTGAACATAGAACGTCATAGTTTAGAACTATTTTACTGATAGCAGCTAAAAGAATTGGTGGCAGTTTGGTTCAGGGAAATAATGTTACCGTTTATTTCTTTTTTTCATGTTTTCTCACGTTTTCCTGCAATCTGTGGGAGTTTATAAAATGGCGGAACTGTATAACAGGAAACCGGAGAAGAGTGCGATATATGTTATTTGACCAACAAGCACACATGGCTAAATGTCAGCTGTTAGACACAAATTCTTGTTCTGAGTCTGGGTGTTCTTTGTGTCCGTTTCATGTAGGTTTGTAAAGTCCCCCGCGACACAGGATATATTTCTAATGCGGGAGTTGTCTTAAAAAATAAAATGACACAAAGATCCTTTACTAGGCATCATCCTACATATGTATATTTGATAAATTGACTACCATTTTCGTTTTTTTTAAACATAAATGATTCACTTTCCTGTTATTTAACTAGGCATAGCATGAATTATTTACATAGTGTCAATAGTTATAAACATTTATTGTCAGATGAGTAGAAAAAATCATCACTTTGATAATATCATAAAAAGCACTTCAGATGCACCCCACGCTTTTTTACAATAATGTACATTCATTTTTTTTTACACTGTACTTAATCAAACTTAATCAAATTTACACTATTCTTAATCCAAATGTATTAAACTTTATTTTCTGTTTTTTAGTTGGATTTTCTATAAAAGCGTGTTTTTTTAGTTTTTTGAAACTATTATTTATTTTAAATTACTTTTTTATTTGAACTTTCGATTGAAACTCAGACTAATGTTTTATTATACCGAGAATCTGATAACTCGGACGAAGAGCTAAGCTATCTGACCCATTTTTTTTTTTCCGTGAAGCTATTTGACCCTGCAACTGTCTTTATGTCATTTCTTTGTGTAAATGAAAACCTTACTATTAATATCTTACGGTTACAATTTACCTTTTGTTATTCTATTAACAGAATGTAAATATGCGATAGTTGAAAGAAAACAAAACCGTTTAGAGAACATCTCTCTAACATAGTATCATCATTTTTATCTCTCAATATGTAAATAGAGGCAAAACTGTACTCAGTTATCTGAGTTGAGTCATGAAAAACAGTATCAAAAATGATTATGTTAATCATGCATTGTTCCTTGACTCCCAAGAGTCGGGTGGTTTGAAATAAAGCTGCGTCATCGGCGGCAATGACCCTTTTTTTGGGGTAAAAGCCCTATAGCAATTATGTTGACTGTACAATGAAGTGATGTCTCATTCGAAGCTTTTAGCCTTTAATTTTATACTCTTTGTCGGTAGAAAAGGGATTTGATTCATTATTCAAAAGATAACGGTATTGACGGACTGGCGCGGTCTTTAAACCTTAAAGA